ATTGTTGCTCAGGTTTTCCTTGATTACCACCTACTTTTTTATCCCCATTTAGTTTTTTTTTCACGTGAATACCTAAAGGGATTGAAAGACAATACAAGAAGCACTATCATAGTATCTTTGCTACTGAGTAGTAAAATGTCCCACTGATTTCTCTGCTTAATACTTTTTATGTAGTATCTATGTTTTAGTATTAATGCAAATGTAGATAACGTTTTCCATTTTATTGTAACATTTTCTTTCTTTTTTCTATCCTCTCCGTGTGCAGTGAGTAAAAACTATTTTATTTCTGTTCTTAATAAAGCTAGAACATCTGTTCATTTTGACAAAATTCTTGGAACTCTTTTCGATGGTTGTGGTTGCCAGCTGGCAGTGTTGCCAACATCATAGTTTTCAATTTTTCATTTAAATATTACCATGACATATTTCTGTTGTTTTTATTACCATGAAGAATAAATTGAAGACATAAGGGGGGAATTTTTGATGTAAAATATTCCAATTTCAATTATTTCCTTTCACATTGATGCTGAGTGCTGACTTAGTCTTTTCTGATCATTTAGGACAGTATATTTATTAGAATATTCCTTAAATTTTGTTTACCAAAATAAAATTCTTTGACATATTTATCAAAGCCTCGATGTGTAATGGATGTTGCTTTATATTTTTATAGTCAGATACATTAAAATGTGTAAGACTAGGGATTTCACTTATCAAGCATCATAAAACTTAATTTGGCTGAAAACAACTGAAAACAAAAAAGAATTAGTCATCAAAATGGTGATGAATTATTCCTGTGACGTTGGCAATCCTTCAACTGGCATGAAAATTTGATTTAGATCAGTGGGTGAAGATGAACATTTGTTTGTATACTAATTTTTGGTGTAATAGAGCTTTGCAAGGTATTTGTCTGGGATATTATCTCATCATTCTAGACTGAAATTAACATTTAATTGCAAAATACCTCAATCTGTTTTGATCAACCTTGAAAATTATTTGTGACATGGTCTTCTTCAACAATTAAAGAATGTCCTGTTTTTGTTTTGACTGCATATTTGACTAATTGTGTTTTGACTGCATATTTTTTTGTACGAAAACATCTTCAGAAACATTACCAGAAACAGCCTCAGCAAAGTTTGAACCATTTTGCAAACATATTCTACTTTGCATGTGTCTTTGTTTGCTGTGCTCTATATTTGCCTTAAGAAAGGTGCTATTAATTGGGAGAGGCTGATCACTATGGCAGTGCTACTGGGTGTGATAATCACCATAGTTACAGTGTCAGAATAGAGTAATCACTATGGTGACATAACTTGGAGAGGGTGGACACCATAGCAATACTATTGGAACAGTGTGGTCACCATGGCAACAGTATATAACAGACGTCTTTTTGTCATGGTTTCTTATAAAATGAGTGTCATTTATTCTTTTTGGATCAGTACAAAGTCGCAGCAACTATTTGGTATTTTTGTACATGACATGACTGGTATATGTTCATTTATTTTTGCACCATGTAAAACTGAAGGTTTCAGGAAAAAAGATTGCTTGGAGAAAACATCACCATCACTTTTGAGGCATTTCATCAGATCGCTTTCTTGTCAACTACCCACTTGCTTTTTTTTTCACTTGCAAACATGGAATACACATAACTTCCAGGACATTATAGATGTTATATATATTATATATGTCCTATTTTTGTTGTGTGCTGCATCTGATTGCTAGTTGCTTGAATTTCCTCTTATTATTTTTTTTTCTGGTTGATTTATTTCGTCAGTGATGGGGTTTTAAGGGTTAGTGCTGAACTGGTACTTAAGAGGAAGAAATATAGTGCTGCCACATACTGTTACGTATACTTATATTGTCAAAAAGAGTGTGGTTTAGTGGGTAAATATTACTGACATTGTGAAATGGGTTAACAAGACCATGAACCACATTATTGTACCTTTATTTATATATTTAAGCTTGGAATAGATTTTATGGGTGAAGGTTAATGGAAGAAAAATAGGAATCTTTCAATTGAACATTAGCATTGATCACTTGTAAGAAAAAATTGTATATAAATATAGATTTTCATGTATGTGGCAAACTTGTCACCTGATATAACAAATCTTTTCTATATTTTTTGTTTCAAATATTCAAATTTTATTTTTTTTAATTTTACATTTCCTAAAATCGTAATTATTCATGAGCTCATTGTTTTACTTATAGATACCAGTAGTTAGGTAAAAAAATAACTATTAAATGTTAAGCTTGAGACAAGTAATACTTGGTCAAAATTTGCCTTACGGACAATTCAACTTTGTTTCTCCACCCAGGGATGGTTTTCCCATTCAGCCCAGTCAGACAGGGTTCTGTAAGGTGTTTTATCTAACGCCACTCCTGGCCAACAACCGAGACAAACGCGGTCTGGCGCTGGATGGAAAGTTGAAACACGAGGACACAAATTTGGCCTCGTCCACTATGTAAGTGAACAGGAAGATTATTTTATTGTAATTCTAATTATTGTTACCTTTATTATTATTATTATTATTATTATTATTATTATTGTTACTTTTTTTTTTCTTTTTTTTTTTTTTTTTTTTTTTTTTGCATGACCTGAAATTTTGACATTATATATATCATTATATGCTCTTTATTGATGAGTAAACTTGATAATTTCAAATATTTTAGATATGGGGGAAAACTTGATCAGATTTTCTAGTCTTAAATTGTCCTATGTATGCAGGGTTTATATTATATTATATTATATTATATTATATTATATTATATTATATTATATTATATTTATGTTTTATATTTTAGTATTACAGATCCTAGTCAGAAGGAAAACTTGGGGATTATAGTGCAGTATAAAGTGAAAGTCAGACTCATCCTTGGGTTTGGATCTGGGTAAGTACTGGGGTTTGACTAACACAAAATAATTACATGTTTCTGCCTCTATTGTTGTTACTGTAGTCCCTCTTGTGTGATCTTTGTTGTAGTTCTCACACTCAACACATTCCCGTAATTGCCACAATCAGTAGATGGTAGTTGTCCAGTCTAACTCACATTGGCTGCATTTAGAACAGTGGACTGACTAGTCTGAGGGTCATATATGGCCGACCCACTTGAATACTTTCCTACGGGATATCTATTCTGTGTGTTAGTGGATTAGACAGCAAGCTTTGTAGTGGGCCGCCATATTTGACTCTGAGACTAGTTAGTCCCCTATTCTGAATGGGGCCATTGACATAATTGTCGCATCCAATACAATGGGGCCATTCAGAATAGATGATCCAAGTACTAACTGAGCCACCGACTATATATGGCTGACCCTACTTCAAAAGGGATGCTGCTGATTCTCGATGGTCTCCTGGCTCCACACGCACAATTAAACAGCTTAAATCTTGGCTCGGAGGTTTTAATGCTAGGCCCCTGCAGCGACAGCAGGTTTAGATCGGGAAGACCATTATGGAATTAGCGGTATCGCTTTGGAAGTAGGGTTGGCCATATTTAGTTATCAGATCAGTTAGTACTCGGATCATCCATTCTGAATGGCCCCATTGTGGTGAATGTGACTCCTAAGGCACTTCTGTCTGTGTTTTCTATATGTGCTTACAGTGGTTGTATGGGAGGTGGAAGCAATGCAAGGTAAATTTTGGCTGCGTTATTTATTTCAATGCTCCCTGCAAAGAATCCTGCACTGCAACCAAGGGGTTGCCTTGTCATCATCTTTTTTATTTCAGTTTTATGTTCGACGGAAACTTCAGATTTAGATTGATGCCATTTTCATTGTGTTTCTTATCCAGGGGCGGATCGAGAGATATTTTTTGACTGTCTTCTGACAGAAACATTAGATGCCTGTCAGTGTTAACTTGAAAAAATATGACTATCTTCTGGAAGACCCAGAAGAAGGCCTCTGTCCGCCCTTGTTATCATCACCATATCAAGAAAAACACATTGATTTCATGCTCACTTTTTACTTTTGAGAAATAAATTATCCATTTTCACATTTGCATAAGACTGTGCTACATGGCCGCGTTCAAAACCACTTGATCTGTGTGACTAACTAGGACCCAGATCAAATATGGCACGCACTTGAAAATGGATTCTCCACCTCCCACGTGCGTTGTCCCAACAGAGGTGGGACAATGAAATCTCAGCACGCAAGTGGGTCATGCCATATTTGACCTGCGGACTAGCTAATCCATGTATCAACTGGTTGTGAACGAGGCCTGTGATGGGAATTTTTTGTCTAAGACTATCAGCATTACAAATGATCAAGTGCCTGCATATAGAGGTGTTACACTTTAGTTTTGCAATGGGCATATTTGTGAGGGGGTGGGAGGAGGAAAACTGTAATCCGCCATGCCCACAGCATGTTTTGTGCAGTTTTTAAGATTCAACATCAGATTGGAAGAAGTCTCTGGCAATTTGTTTTTCACTTAAAAAGCAGCATCCTATGTTTATAAAAATTTTATAGTTTGAGGTAAAAAAAAAAAAAAAACGAATGCAAATCTTCAAAATTTAGTACTGTTCTTTGCACCAGAAAGCAAGTTTGAAAGCACATGGAGAAAATAATTTTGCATCAAAATGAAGCAGCCTAGCACTAGAGCATTGTTTGAAGTTTAACAAGTTATTTAATAAAAGACTGAAATTATAAATTGCTCACAATGACAAGTAACAGTTCATACTTTACAAATATTGGCTTTGATTTAATTTAGCATTAACTAACCATCCTTGATTTACCTTCACCAACTAGCATTGATTTAATTTCATAAAATGACATGACCTACTTTTATAGGATAACATTGACCTACTTTCAGTGACCTTGCTGTGGAATTGCCCTTCACCTTGACCCACCCCAAGCCAGTAGAGGAGCCACCCCCTCCCAGTCGGTCAGCAAGCATCGCGCCTTCGTCTGGAGACGCTCCAATAGACACTAATCTTATTCAGCTGGACACAAAGTAAGTGGACATTGGTCATCTTCTTAGAGAAATGTGAAAATTACTCGACCTTTTCAATGGACAAAAACTGTCAAACAACNCGGATCATCCATTCTGAATGGCCCCATTGTGGTGAATGTGACTCCTAAGGCACTTCTGTCTGTGTTTTCTATATGTGCTTACAGTGGTTGTATGGGAGGTGGAAGCAATGCAAGGTAAATTTTGGCTGCGTTATTTATTTCAATGCTCCCTGCAAAGAATCCTGCACTGCAACCAAGGGGTTACCTTGTCATCATCTTTTTTATTTCAGTTTTATGTTCGACGGAAACTTCAGATTTAGATTGATGCCATTTTCATTGTGTTTCTTATCCAGGGGCGGATCGAGAGATATTTTTTGACTGTATTCTGACAGAAACATTAGATGCCTGTCAGTGTTAACTTGAAAAAATATGACTATCTTCTGGAAGACCCAGAAGAAGGCCTCTGTCCGCCCTTGTTATCATCACCATATCAAGAAAAACACATTGATTTCATGCTCACTTTTTACTTTTGAGAAATAAATTATCCATTTTCACATTTGCATAAGACTGTGCTACATGGCCGCGTTCAAAACCACTTGATCTGTGTGACTAACTAGGACCCAGATCAAATATGGCACGCACTTGAAAATGGATTCTCCACCTCCCACGTGCGTTGTCCCAACAGAGGTGGGACAATGAAATCTCAGCACGCAAGTGGGTCATGCCATATTTGACCTGCGGACTAGCTAATCCATGTATCAACTGGTTGTGAACGAGGCCTGTGATGGGAATTTTTTGTCTAAGACTATCAGCATTACAAATGATCAAGTGCCTGCATATAGAGGTGTTACACTTTAGTTTTGCAATGGGCATATTTGTGAGGGGGTGGGAGGAGGAAAACTGTAATCCGCCATGCCCACAGCATGTTTTGTGCAGTTTTTAAGATTCAACATCAGATTGGAAGAAGTCTCTGGCAATTTGTTTTTCACTTAAAAAGCAGCATCCTATGTTTATAAAAATTTTATAGTTTGAGGTAAAAAAAAAAAAAAAACGAATGCAAATCTTCAAAATTTAGTACTGTTCTTTGCACCAGAAAGCAAGTTTGAAAGCACATGGAGAAAATAATTTTGCATCAAAATGAAGCAGCCTAGCACTAGAGCATTGTTTGAAGTTTAACAAGTTATTTAATAAAAGACTGAAATTATAAATTGCTCACAATGACAAGTAACAGTTCATACTTTACAAATATTGGCTTTGATTTAATTTAGCATTAACTAACCATCCTTGATTTACCTTCACCAACTAGCATTGATTTAATTTCATAAAATGACATGACCTACTTTTATAGGATAACATTGACCTACTTTCAGTGACCTTGCTGTGGAATTGCCCTTCACCTTGACCCACCCCAAGCCAGTAGAGGAGCCACCCCCTCCCAGTCGGTCAGCAAGCATCGCGCCTTCGTCTGGAGACGCTCCAATAGACACTAATCTTATTCAGCTGGACACAAAGTAAGTGGACATTGGTCATCTTCTTAGAGAAATGTGAAAATTACTCGACCTTTTCAATGGACAAAAACTGTCAAACAACAGATACATAGTTTTCTAATCACACAATTATAATTCTGTATAGCATTTGTGGTGCTTTTAACTGCATAGGAAAGAACTATAGAGTAGCCTGCTTTTTAATTTTGTTGATATCACTCAGTAGGCATGTTTTAATTTTAAGAAATTATGGTTTAGAAATATAGTGCCTGTAAAATTGTCAATTTTCTCCTATTGAAAAGATCGAGTACTTATAGTAATCAGAAGTGGATGCAAGTAATATGTCTTCGTCGTGATAAGCACTCTGTTATTGTGATATTTGTGATTTCTGTCGGTGTTAGCCTACAGGATGAGCATTTAGTAATATGTTTACTGTGGTATTTTGTAAGATTGTAGAAAGCTTCATATGATGCAGATGTGGGTGGTTGATATGATGGGTCTGAGACTGTGACCAGTTTAGGTTTTTGAGTGTAGAATATCTTCTGACTGTAGAATATCTTGTGTTAGTAATGGATAATGTCACATTTGTGCAGACAAAAACAGCAGGACGAGGACAATAAGGAAAATCAGTAACTCATAAAAAGTAAATTTTTACATTAATGAGACTGCTTTAAAATATTTCCTGAAATGAATCATGCACTTATGGAATACTTTCTGCACTTCACAGAAAAGTGCATGATGAGGCAAATATTTGTGGAAATTTGGCAAAATTTTTTAAATAGTTAAGAAATTTTCCTTACAATTAAATAAAAAAAAAAAAACACAACTTGATATTTGAATGGTGCAGGGATTTGTATGTAATTGTCCTCACATTGTGTAAAACTGCAATTATTAGCATGTTTTGATAACATGACTGCTTGAACAGGGCAAGATGTTCTTGAGACATTCGTGCAAGTCCTTAAAAAGAAAAATATTGGGACCAAAATCCCAAAATTGATTGAGCACTGAGAAGATTCATATATTTTACCTCACCTCAATACATTTACTTTTCTTTGTGAATGACAAATGCACACAGCTGAAAAAGCATGCTGCTGGGCTCCGTATCTGGAAAGGTGCGCTATGTTGCGCACGTGCGTTAGTGTCTCGATTCCATAACCGAATAATCTATTTCGAGATACGGGGCTATGGAATAGAGACACTTGCACACGTGAGCAACATAGCAAACCCTTCGAGATACGGAGCCCAGGTTTATAAGTGTACACCTAGAAAATCGAGATTGAACTGGTGGAGTAGTTTCCATCAGAAGTAGCTTGCTTTCATTTTTCACTTAGCTAAATTTGCATGCAAGCATGCTGAGCAAATTGCCAGGGTATTATTCTTATAGCCCTTTGAGGTAAACCCATTTCAGTAGAAAACTGCTTGCATATTTTATATTGCGCATTGAAATATTACACTGGTTACAATTTTTTTTTTAACATGCAAAAGTTATTTATTTTTGGCATTGAGGAACAGACAAACTGACGGAAATAGAAGTGCTGTTAAACCTTTTGGTCATGATCATGTCATGTTTTGGTCATGATCATGTCATGTTTTGGTCATGATCATGTCATGTTTTGGTCATTATTATTTCATGTTTTTGTCATGGTGTCTAATTCCCACTAGGGGTTCCAGTGTTCTGTACTATTAGTTCACCACAGGTGGATCAGCTACCAAAACGTGCCAATAACAAATATGTTAACACAGTCTTAAAAGACTATTATTTTATTTTATTTATTTGATTTTCATTTATATTGTTAATTGTTAATTGACCCATTATTTTAGCTGAGTGATTTTTACATGGTAAATATTTTGTGCAAACCAAACATGAACTTTCTGTATTAAATCCAAGCTTAGTAAACTCTCTATGTGAAAATGGACTTAAAATATCTCTTAATGTTTTAAACATAGTTTTATGCACAATTCCAATTATATCACTTGGATCTCTTGCTAAATGCTCTAATTTGCCTCTCTTTCAGTGGGGAAGATATTTATGCTGATAAAGACGATGACCTGATTTTTGAAGATTTTGCACGGCTACGACTCAAAGGGCTGGATGTGGACGACACAGAGGCCTGATTGCAATCACTTTCTCACCTACTACAATCCACTTGAACATCCCAACCAACACAATCAACTTACACATCTAACACAATCAGGTTCACTTGAACTCCACCAGTACCAACTGTTGGTTTTGCTCGTCAGGTTTTTATACCGCTAAGATTTGAGAATATTGAATGATTAGATTATAGAATGGTTCATTATACTAAGAATTCAAAATGTTTTAAACTAAGACTTTGAAAAATCAACCTTTTTTACTTGGTATGTGCATGTGAGTTTTGGTATTTCTGTAAAGAAATTGTGATTTCAGTTATGTAGAAAATGATATTAATTTCATCAGTTACTAAAAAGCTGTAATTGACAATTGATTCACGAGACTAAAAAGAAAAAATATGTTGACTTCTTTTATAAACAAGTGCTATACAAATGGGAACAGTTTATGTTGACTTTGGCCATGAAATTATAAGTTTGAGACCTTGGCCTTGGAAAATGACCTTCAACTAGACCTTGACCTTGATATTGAAAATAAATAAATAAAAGATGATCTCTTCAAGCCTAGGGAAGATGAATGTCCATGTAATCCCCGTCAAACTTACTTTATTTGTAAGTTTAGGATTCAATTTGCACTGAAACAGCTAGAAATATTAGATCATGTTATGTTGTTTTTGAGGAGAAATATGTTTATGTATATGAATCTGTAATAAGTTATGGACAGAATTGGAGGGTTAGAATGATACACTTGAAAAGTTCACAGGGATTTATGAATTATCTCAGAGTTATTAAAGCCCAAATACTGTGCTCAAAGAGAAAATGGCATGGCCAATGAGGTTAGAGGTCAAAAGTTAAAGGTCATCCCAAGTGGGATTGTTAGGTCAGGAATAAGGCACTCAGGGGTAAAAGGATATTAACTGGGAGGTCAAAGGTTCAAGGTCAAAAGAATCTCTGTAGCTTTATGATATGTTTCCTATTATATTTAACCAAGCCCAACTAGGTTTTAGTTTGTTCAATGTTGTTTTGTCTCTCAGATTTTTGCTGAACAGTAAAAAAGAAAATGCAAAAGACATGATGTTGCTGAGGTTATGACTTAGGATCTGAAACAATTGTGGTCGCCTAAATATTTGCGATATATTTTGTTTTGTTTTTTCTCTCTTCTTTGACAGTTTTGTGCCACAGTTGTGCACTTTATGGGTAACTTGTAAAAGCAAAATTATATATCTACTGCAAACATGTTATACAAACATAGATATCAGTTGCAATTACTGTAAACCAAAGCTATATTACTAATATTGTATATATATATAATATATTAAGTATAAGTGTTTAATGTATATCCGTTATAATTGTTTGTAAAATGACAGTGATTAATATTCAGTTTCACAACAAGTTGGGTATCTTATGTGTTGACAATTGCCAGTATAGAGTCTAAGATACAGTATGTAATAACTTATATGTAAAACCAGTTGAAGTCTGAAATCCATATTATACCATGGCTGATGGATAAACTGAACATTTTAATTAGTCTCTGAAAGACGGGTACTAGGAAATGGCAGATATTTATTCTCCAAAATCTGGCATTAATTCATATACAATCATGATTATATTAAGGCTTGATTCTGCTTTAAATAAAGGGTAAAGGCAGGTGTGGCGGGATTCTGAAATAAATTAAGTATCAAATTAATTAGCTTTGTGCTTTAAACTTTTGTGAGAAGACCTTGCATATTATGTTATGCAAAGTAGACCATTTTTTTTTTTTTTTTTTTTTTTTTTTTTTTTATCCCTTGGCAGGAATGGTGTTTTCAGATTCGGTACAGGTAAATGTCCCATTTACGTGAGGGTGGTATGGGCACAGTATACTGTAGTCAGATACTTAGTTTAAAATCATTCAAATCCATGCTAAGCATTTATCTTGTTTAAGCTCATTATCATATTGAGTAATATATCATTGAAATTGATAGACTGTTCAGGAATTTTACAGGATAGAATTTTGTATGAAGGTTTCAGCATCATGTCAGCTTTATTGGTTGCTGGATATACATACAGATATGAGAATTTTCCAGTTTTATCCATTTGTCTAGATATTGGTGAAATATGTTTGGAGAAGCCATGCCTTCTGAAACCCACCCCCCTTCCATAGAGAGCCGTTAATCAAGAATACCATCATGGTCCGCAGACATGACATATTCGTCATGAAAACCATCATGGTCCGCAGACATGACATATTCGTCATGAAAACCATCATGGTCCGCAGACATGACATATTCGTCATGAAAACCATCATGGTCCTCAGACATGTTCATGATGCACACTACAAAGTGTTGTGGTTCTAATATATCACAGATGTCTTACAAATTATCGCACACATGAAATTTCAGCCAGGCATTTGATTCTTTGCACAGATCCAGAAATACAAATTCCAGGGACAGGGCAATGAAATCTGTGGTGAAGCATGGCACCAAACAAGCTATGGTCAGGGTAGAAAATATCACACTAAAGTTGAGATTACAATAATAGTTTCTTCAAGCGGTTTCTTAACTCAGAGATGTTTCATGTACCACTCCAATCTTTCAGTGTTTAAGGCCCCATTCCCACTGACACTGTCAGTCTACATGGATCGACCCAACTCCGTGGGGACGCTTGCTGAGTGCAATCAGCTTAACTGAATGGTACACCTCTTTTTTCCAAAGTTCTCGTTTAATCACCTTTCTTTCTGTATTCTACTCATCCCCAGGAGTGTGTCATTCAGTTAAGCTGATTGCACTCACTGAGAGTTTTCACAGAGTTGGACCGATTGCTGTAAACAGACGGTTTCTGTGGAAACGGGGTCTACTAAGACTCCATCAGGGAATGAGACCACAGGTTATCCATTTTTCTATAATAATGAAAAACTATTATTGTAACATATTTTGCTGGATACGATAGCAATTTAAAATCAAATCTGATAATCATGGTGCAGCATATAGCTCTGTAATTGCCTTCGTTGTAGTCAATTTGTTTCGTGTTTATTTTCACATTTATTGTGCGTTTCAGTAAAATCTTTGGTTATTTCTAGCATATCTATGTAGTTTTAGATATCTGGGATGTTGACAAATGAAAGATAATGGTTTAGAAGTCATTGTGGAAATTGTCATGTAAGTCTGGATGAGAACAAAATAAAAACTTTGTGTATAACATAGCAGGTTGTTTGTTTACTGTGTACATAATATTTTGATAGGTACTATTCATGGAAAGGATCACCAAATCGGGACATAATTGGGCTCTGTACCTTTATTAGGCCGCATTTACAACAGCGGACAAACTAGCCTGCGGATCAAATATGGCGACCCACTTAAAAGCATGCCGTCTAATCCCCTAACACACGTGGAATAGATTCCCCGCTGATTCAACGGTTCTGTAATACAAAAATGGGTCTCAAATACGTTCTACAGTGTAGGAGTAACATATCTCAACTTAATATAATTTGGAAGATAACAAATTAGCAAATGAATACATGTACGTGCATATCAGTAAGTTTATAAGTATGCATTACATTAAACGTTTAATAAAAGCGCTAGTACCAAATAGGAATTTTACGTTCGTCCAAATAGTCAAGAATATACATGTATAACATCCTTGATGAAATAGAGACGCAAAAAAAAATTCTAGAATCAGCCAAATCATGTTAAAATATTCAATGTCATAGCAGAAAAAAAATGTAAAATTATCTCTTAAATACCAAGGAAGGAAATTACTATCTTTACAACTGTTATTGTTATAGATAATAAGGGATGATTCTCATCTCTCTTTTCATTTTAATCTTTCTGGAGGTTTGAATTTGGATAAAAAGTAACTTTGTAAGATTTTTTTAACGATTTTTTAAACGTTCTTGAAGTCGCAAAGTATACATTTCAGATCCACTAAGGAAAGTCCCATTTCGTTACCCATGAAAGCCCGTTTTTATTTCCCGAGATGCATGCGAAGCATCCAATCCCCGTGAGTCGTGAACGCGGCTTTTGATTCCTCTTCCTCCGTAAAACAAGTCATTATACCCGCTGATTCGTGATTTTTAACCGGAGATATGAATTCAGATTTTTTTCCCCATCACTACCCCAACCCCCCTCCAAAAAAAACTGAAACCCTCACCAAAACGGTGTAACGTGACAGAGAGTCCCCCATGACCCTCAGTGTCGTTACACCGGCTTACAAATGTAAACTTTACACATCGTTATCTGTGAACTGTTTTGGATACGTGTATCATAATACACATTTTGGTGGAAAGGGAAAGTGAGGGCATTACCAGTAAATAAAGTACCAGCAGTATCATGTAAAGGCTCAGTGTTTATTGTAAACATTAAAAGAGTGCTGACCCATGTATCGTACCACGTCATTTCCTCGTGCACGTGCTCTCATTTGATTTCATATTTACAGGTACTACAGAAAAGATCAGACAAATGACGCTACATGGGTCATTGGTCAGATTTAGAGTCATAATCACAATTTGATCATCTCCAAATTTAAAACAATCAGCCACCAATCGCTATTACCAACAGTAGCCGATAAGATTCATATAACAGAGCTAGGTGCACGTGACCTGATAACATTGCCGCATTGACAGTATATATACGAACTGGCAAATACATTTCTCTGATTTCTACTCGTTTTCACATCTCGGTGTACGTTGACATTCTCTCTGCTCTAACATACTGTACTACAGGCCTAAGACAATGCTGTTTGCCGCTGTGTGTGTAAGCCTGCTGGCGCTGGCATTTGGTGCCCCCAAGCCGTGTAACTGCCCCAGTAAATGGGAAGGGTTAATGGGAGAGATGATCGGAGCCGAAAAGGGCGGGAAACCATGGACTATGCAGGTGGGAAATATCTAAGTGTCTATTTTGTAATTACATTGTACACTTGAATACCATGTTATTTTGTCTTGGTTTTTTTTCTTTCATTTTTTCTTTTTTCATTAATTCACCTAATTTTATGCTCTTAAAATTACTTATTCATTCATTCGTCCATTCATTCATTTACTCATTTATTACCCATCAATTGATTAATTTCCCTTTATTCTTTTCAACAACCATCTGATTGTTTATGTATATTGATGTCCGAGTTGGAAGTGCACCTATTTTGATTGACGTATCTCCTCCAGGAAGGGGCGCGTCTCTCGGTCTCCTCTGACGACAAGAAAATTTTCTCCATGGGCGTGGCTAACTTCAGTACAGGCCAGTCCGTCAACATGAAAGTTCTACAGGACTTTAAGAACGTAAGTGTTCTTTCTTACATTTTTTGTGTCATTTTTTTCCTGAACTTAGCGAGATAATATCCCAAAGGTATATTTTTATGCCTAAACATTCCAAATCAGACCTTAAAAACTGTAAACTCTTGAAATAACGTACTTGATGTCGATGTTTCCTTATGATAAGCCAGGGATACAAAAACAGTCTAAATAAATAATGGTTCGTTTAATTAATCATTTTATTAGAGATACACGAAACACTAGATCCAAGTACGAGGATGGTTTCAACAATGATACATTAGTAGGAAAAACGGTTTTTATTTTTTCTCGAGGGAAATTGGATTTGACACAAACGTAGTAGGTACAGGAAACTTTTAATTGAGTAATGTAATTCACAAGTCAGATAAGTACAACAAAAATGAAGGGCTTTCATATTCGTTTTATTATTATTTTATTAGTATTTATGTGCACGTATCTTAATTTATTAATATACTGTAATTTAATATATATCCTTAGTTTATACCCTTACTCAAATGAAAGGATTTAACAAGAAACTCCATTTCCACGTTTTTAACCTGAAATTCGAAATTCATCCCAATGGCACAATTTTAGTGGCGTTTATGAGCGACTTGAATTTACGTATAGATATATCAGCTTATTGTTTTCTTTATTTATTTTATTTAATATACAGTATTCGATTTTATTCATTCCAGCATAAACAATACGTGATAATTAAAGGGAAGTGCACCGTGACCAAGTTAGAGGGAGAGATGATGAACGGCGTTCCAGGTATGTGTACATTAATTTCTGTTACCTTTTCCTATTTTGAATAATTATTTATTATCATTATTTATTTATCATAACTCAGTAAACTACATAACAAAAGGAGTAAATAGCTTTTATAAACAATATCCATGAACAATTGCTATTTATTTATTTATTTATTTATTTTGAGATATCGAACTAAATATCACCATTTAAACATTTACAAACTTCCATAAACCCATCAATTATGTCATACAGCCAACGCAACCTGGATAGGGGCATTCTACTTCGGTTCCGGTGTCGGGAACTCTCTGGCCGTGGACAGCTGGAAAGTGAAGCTAGGTGGCGCTGAGGAGGAGCTCACTACCACCACCAAAGACTGCATCCCTATTGGCATCGTGACAACGGGCATTGTGAACGGAGGTAAGCCGTAAGGCGAAAATTGACGAGAGAAAACGGAAAAACCCGAACAAAATGAAAAATGCCGAGATGGGACACACACGCACATTCACACACACACACGTACGAACACACACACGCACACACATACACACTGGGAGAGAGAGAGAGAGAGAGAGAGAGAGAGAGAGAGAGGCCCGGCTATGCCCATATCAAACAAATGTTCTTTCGCAATCCACAAATTTCCCATAATCATTGCTCATCTCTCAGAGATAAGATACCATTATCATTTATCAAAATTAACTTCATCAATCAAATGATTTCATTACCAATAATCACCGTTAGGTTATCAGATTGCCGATATCAGACAATAGCGCAGAAAGCAAGTTATGCAATGCGCTGCAGTGCATTTCACTATTCACGTTTTTATCACTTGGGGTGGGGGCGAAGGTATTCAAATTGTATGACACAATATACAATATACAAAACGCGTTTGACAACTTCCCTAAGTCATATTTTCATTGTCTACCTATCCTGAAAAGCTACCTCTTTTCCAATTCCAACTTAAAAACTATAAAAGCCCTCAAATACAAGTACTTGATTGCTATATTCCCTGCCAGATATGTTGAACCCAATTATTTATTCAGCAATCAGGGACGAGTGAAAAATTCTTGAGTGAGAGAGATTTTTTTTCAAGAAAAAATTCTGTTTGTCGCGAAAACCCCGGATAGGATACCTACATGTAACGGATCCAAATGATAAAACAATAAATACACGATGAAATAAATAACCTAAGACACGTACATATATTTGGTGAAGCCAACGTACAATATCATTTCTGCTGGGACTGACATTATTCAAGCGTATTATAGGATAATCTTTAATTTTTTTCATATATGACATCATAAATTTACGAACTACGTTTCAGCTGACGTCATGGCCACTATTGGTATGGTAAACGTCACTATCGGCATCAAAGATCCTAGCGTCTTCGTTGTCCCGTCTATCTGCAAGCAGGTCTCAAGCGAGGTAAGGGGATAAATAAGTACAATATAATAGCCTATAAAGTGAAATAAAATATAAAATTTCCACGGGATACCTGTTTACTTTAGCAATGTCACTTTCGGAATTTAATGCAGATTAGACTTTTATGTGGCAAAAAAAAAAAAAAAAAAAAAAAAATAGAATTTTCGGCATTTTATCCTGTATGATCCTTTATTTCCAAGGAAAACACATTTGGATACAATGTTTTGAACAAATGGGCAAATGAGTTATCCAAAATTTATTTTTATGGAATAGTTTATTAAATGCGTTCTGTGCCATTGTTAACACATTATGGACAATTTTATCTTAGACGTTCTTTTTCTTTTCTTTTCAAAGCACCCAAGTCAACAGCTGACTGGCTACATGAAGCTCATCAGTCACATGTTCAGGAGATAAACGGTCGATAGGTGGCCAGAGCTCAAGCAGACGACAAATTCGGCAGCTGGTTAGAACACAGATGTTCGCTTTTACTGTAACAACAAAAAGTGATACATCAACACACAACTCGGACATTTCGTGACAATTCTGTTTATTTTTGTGATATGTAAGCAGATGATTAAAATTAACAATTTTAAATCAAGTGTAGTTTTTTTCGCACCTTTGAAATTTGATTCAGGTTAGCACTGCCATATGTTCATTACGTAATCTTTTCTTGACGACAAAATTCAAAGAATTTAAGGTATAGTTAAACAAATCTCCATCTAGTTTATAAAAAGCCCACAATTTCGTTAATTGTGAACTAGAAACGTTCGTAAAATATATCTTCCAAAGATCAGCCGACGATACATGCTGCATATTTTTCCTCGGATAATGAAACAAGTCTGCTACTCCAAGTACTTTAAGAACCATATTGACGTCACGCTCGACGGTCTCGTGACGCCCTATGACGTCATAATGTACGTCACACGGGTTGCACAGCTCGAAGAATCGTCTCCAATGCTGATCAAGTGCATCCGGGTCTTTAGCTGCTTTGAAATTGAGATATCTGACAAAACCTTCAAATGTCACCCCGTCCCCCGTCCGGATCGTTGCCTTTGTCGCATGCGGTTCGAAATATTTGGCAATAATCGTTCCTTCATTAAAGGACAATATAGTGTGTCGCTCAAGTTTGTTTCTGAACGCGGAAACTAACCTCTCAAACGGATGTCGTACTAATATCACCTTCAGGTAATGGTCGAGGCGAAATTGAATCCCAAAGTCCGAGAAGGAATTAAGTGGAGTCAGGTACTTGCGATATTCAGCGTGGACCTCCCCGGCTCCGATATCTTGGTAGCCATCACTATCGGCATTGGCAGTCAGACCGTACATTAGTCTTATAAAATTGGTACATCCCACTTTGGGAATGGCGCAGTACAGGAGGCGGTGGCGCTCGTCCACAAACATGAACTCGGTGGTGATGTTTCGTACTGGGACACCATCCTTTTTTGGTGACTTTAAGGACGAACAGGCGTCTTTTAAGTGCCGTCGCCTGGTCTTCATTTCATAGACCCAAGGCTCAGGGGCTAAACTCCAGGCTGCGTGCTGGAAATGTTAAGATTTATAAAAGAGAAGATTAGAGATGAAAGTTGGCTAAATAAGTAACCCACCTTGCTTTTCGAATCATATCATATAGTTCACGTGAAGAGCAACGGACGATTGTGACTGAGCGCTCGTTAATGTGTACGACTGTGTTTGCGTGCATGCGCGTGTTCCTAGGTCTCGTACTTGACAAATGATACCAAACACACATTACAAGTATATTAGAGTATGAATGGAATTCCTCTTGCTTATTATCCTGCTAAATTAGACTATAATTACTTTTCATAACTCAAAATTTCGCCAAATCATATTATGAAACGCTGATCATGTTGAATCACAAGCAACTGTCGCGTCCAATAAGCCTAAGTAATCTACCCGTATACTCAAGTACATGTACAATCGATAAATAAATAAATGTCTTTTTTAGGTTTATGAGATGTGACATCTGCCTGTGCATTGATAATCACCATACTTCAACATGCCCTACTTGTTTACATACTTGTAATCATTTAATGAGATTCTGATACTGTATTAGTTCAATCCACCGTAAATACCGAACTCCTCTAATTACGGTTATTACCCAATCTTTTTAATTGCCAAAAATAATAAAACTGTCAGATATATAATTTTACAATCACAAAAATTATATTTCTGTATGGCATTCATGGTGCTTTTGTTGCATAGAATAGAACTAAGGAGTAGCCTGCTTTTTACTTTTGTTATAATTTTAAGAAAATTTCTCTCGAGAAATACTGTATCTGTAAAATTAAAATCCCCCCCCCCCCCCATTACCGTATTTTCTGATGCGTATAAAACGTTTAACAAAACATTAATTCACATTAGTTATGCAATTCTTAATTTGTGCACTAGGCCAGTGCCGTTTTCTCTCACTCACCTGTGGATTTAATGCTGACTCCCCGCCCAATCCCTGGTATTCCAAATACGCTGATATACAATAAAAACAAAAATAAACCATTCACAACAAAAGAAAGAGACAGAGATTTATCATCAATTAGTAACAACAACTTCATTTGTATGCACATTTAATAGCTGGAAATGCAGGTTCAAAAGAACATTAAAGTACATAAGTGGTATTGCACACCTAGACCCGTACCTGTATTGCTAAAGTGCGTTCGTGACGTCATCAGCGAGTACAAAATGACGTAACACAAAAGTCCCACAAGTGTAAGACCCAGCATAAATGTCAGCCAAGTCAGAGACTGTCTCATTTCAGTACAGGTGATAGATGTCTCCAAATTCAGTAGTTCTGTACACGGCAATCTTTACTACGGTTACTACATACCAAATCGCCTAGAAAGCAGTTCTGAAACTTGAAAGAGTTTATCTTGAATAGACCATTTATAAAGGCTATAATGTATGTTACACATTCATATAGCAAATATAAAATAGATAAATGAAAAATAAATGTAAAAAACCTTCCCGAGAAACTTATGCAAGTATCCCTTTATCGCAAAGGTATACTTAATCCAAAACCTTTGAGAAACTTATATAAACCATTTTCTTCTTCTTCAGGCTGTGCAGACATTATTCAATTACTTAATATTTAGAAGGTGACTTACTTGGTGAAGTATCCTTAACTACCCCGTCCATTAACAATCCGCAAAGGCGGAAAAATCCATGATTAAATAATTTCAAAATAGTCTCTGTGTTATGTTAACAGTGTGTTTATGTCGCAGTCTTGTGAATATTTCTCTTCACTGTGATTCACAGACACTTGTCATACCTGGGTACCGTCTGGTCAATCGCATACACGCACGGGTAGAAGTATACGTCAATATGACACTGTACTTCAAAATATGTGAGCTGCAAGAAGTCTAGGATAAAACGTGGAAAATGACCTAAAAAATTGTCGAAGCACGACACATTAGTGTAAGGGAAATTTAATTCAAATTAGGGCCCATCTCAAAAGTATGAGGAGTTCCTGCAAATTGGAGTCACCTATAAAATGGCAATAAAGGTGGTAGCAAATGAGGCCCGTGATTTTATTGTGGGGAAACCACGTGAGTGTTAATATCAGGTTTACCAGGGCATGGAGTCCTGGTTCTCACCTACATGTAGCTACTCGAGAGTTGACTTCTTTTGGTCCACTATTAAAAACATGAAATCTGGGATATTGAGGCAATTGTAGAGATAATAGATCAAGATAAATATAACTGAGAAGCGTTAACATGAAGATACATAGATACTGAGTTTTTATTATAATATTTTATGTCTTCCCTTCTTTTTTATGAAGGAAAACACATATATTATGCGTAATCCAATTCAAATTAGGGTCCATCTCTAAAAGTTACGCGTCTCCAGTTCACTGAAGTTCTTTCAAAAGGAATATACCTCAGAAAAAAACTTTCTGAAATTGAAAATTGTGTTTCCTGAAAAGTTGCTGATATGATTAAGATTCTCATTGGCCCCAGAAGAAATTTAGAGGCAACTTTAAATGTATTAAATGGCCGTCAATTTCCGTAGAAACATATGACTTTACATACATTGTATAAAATACCCTTGGCCTTCGTCCATACCACATTGTTTCAGTCAAAGTATGCCAATTATGCAATAAATCTTGTTCTTATGAATCTCATTACTGTTTCAAGTTGAAGTTCTGTTTAAAAATGCATTATGGAATCAGATGTTCTTCGGGACAGTAGCCAGAGAGGGAGAGCGGATGGGGGGGGGGGNAAGCTCCAATGCCCTTGGGTAACCCTTGGTGAGCATTGGCACCTTATGTTATACATTATGCATTGGTTAATATTGTCACTGTGTGTGTGTGTGTGTGTGTGGGGGGGGGGGGGGGGGGGGGGGGGAATTGAACAAAGCTCCCTTTTGCAGAAAAAGGGTCCGATCTGGGTAAAATTTTGAGCTAAGTGCAAGATGATTTTGTGGTAAGGGCCCACTTTTTGCTGAAAATTAACCTCCTCCTTAAAAATGCTGGTTACGGGCCTGCTTTTATTCTCAATAATGACATTAATATATTTTTTCATATGGTATTTATTTTAAGATGATTTGCTCCCGGCACCCAAACAACCTAATAGTTTTTTTCAAAATTAAATATGAATTATTTAAAGGAAAAATCGATTTACTTCATACAGGAAGTAGCGCGGCACCACAAACTTGAGCTTTATGCACGGTTTGAATCAGCCTAATGGTATAGCAATAAATGGCATGCAATTAGCCAGATACTAAAGTGGGGAAATAATGGCAGCCAAGACAAAAACAGCGGGTTTGCTCTGTTTTTCAATTTTCACTTCCAGTATGCAATTAATTATGCAGCAGAGGGAATATCGGGGTTTTCTCAGAACAAATTAATTCCGACATAGAGGCAGTACTGCCAGGAGTCTTTTATTCCACCAATGTGAACTTTATATTTAAATTTCTGTCAATAATTTGAATGTTTTCTGGAAATCAGTTTAGGTTTTAAAACATATAATGTTAGTAATTGACAGCCACCAGTGAATAAGGAGGGGGCGTTTTGTAGAGTAACTGAGTAGATTGACATGCTCTTATGATACTTATACAACTGCGTGTAATGTAAACGAGAGAAGGTCGCTGAAGATTGCATAAGGTAAAAGATAGAAATGAAAAGAAAGCGGCACGGGAACCAACTAGAAAGTACTTAATAAATAATATGAAAGGATATAAAAGAGTTGTATTTACTACCTCGCGTAACGGCAAAAGATAAAGACAACAACTTTGTGGACATTAAATGCACAAACTGGTGAAAAAAAAAAAAAAAAAAGGAGTACTCTGCCACATTAATCTAAGAAAATACACTCAGGTACAGTGTGTATTTGAATTCACCCAAGTCACGCAGTCGTCTGCAAAGTACTCATTGTTTCTCATTCTACAGAACAAACTACGAAAGTTTTTTATTACAGAAACAATTAAGACGAGTCACAAAGCACAATTATCCTCGCTTACTATTTTTTACTAAAATTATCCACACTATAGACTTAGTGAAAGAATCTCTTTGTGACCCCAACCCCTTCAGCAAAATTCTGGAACCGCCAGTAATATTGCATTAGCAGTGCGGGTGGCACTTCATTGTGTTAGCGGTGCCCATCTTGTCACAACCATCGCATTGCATTCGGCAGTCTCTCTCTATCTCAGCTCTCCGTAAAAAGCCCAGAGTACGCAATCCCCTATCACAATATTCCTTTTCATAAAATTCAAAGGGCGATTTAACGTCATTGTCTTCTCTTTCTCATCGACGAGAAAAGCTCGCAAGTGAATTGATAAACTCCTTAGGGCTTCCGCGTCTTTTTCAAGGGAAAAATGCAGAAGAACCGCGGGTCGGAAATTTAATATTTAAATTTAATTCTGCTCAGATCGATTTGCTGCTTTCACTGTCTGCTTATTTATCAGCGCCGATTTGCCTCGATAGTCTCATTGCCCTCGGCTTTCACGCAAGCTGAGCTAAGCTAAGAAGTCCGTATCCAGTGGATTAGGAACGGCGGTATTCTAGGAGAGATATGAAATGGTTTTTAGAATGTGAGGCATTGCAGTTGTTCAATATAATCTTCTCATCAAATTACCGGTGACCGCTCCATGTTTGTAGCTGCGGTGTTATTCTGGCGTGGTAGCTTTGGTTGAAGCAGAGAAAAGCGGTGACCAAAAGTCACCGAATCGTTCGGCAAAATAATGTGGGGTAGCCAATGAGAGAAAGAGGGGTGTGGGTGTGGGTGTAAGAGAAAGTGGGGTGTGGGTGTGGGCGTGAGAGAAAGAGGGCTTTGGGTGTGGGTATGCAGGCCTGTAGCCAGCCATTTCAAATGGGGGGTTCTTTTTATGAAAAAGTGGACCTTTTACCGTGAACCATTCCTGTACCTAGGTAAAATTTCATCCAGAGGGGACCTTTTCCTGGCAAAAAGGGGTTACTTTCGACCCCCCACCCCCACCCCGGCTACGGACCTGGTGTGGGTGTGGGTGTGGGAAGTGTATACTTTCTAAAAGACGCCAGAGGATTTCGTGCTTACACAGAGTTCTTGAGTAAAACGTTTCATTGAATTATGAGCTATTAAAAATTGAAAAAAAAAAAAAAAGCCAACCATGCTGCAAAGTTGCTGACCTTGGGAAAGTAGGGGGTGTCGGATACATGAAATTGCCACTTTAATAAATAAATAAATAATCTAAAAAACGATATTATGTGCGAAATCATTGGTTGGTATCTTTTAACTTATAGATAATGAAGGTCTCAGTTGATTAAATCCGCTACTTCCTTTTCTGGAAAAAATGCAGGATTGGTTATCATCAGTAAAAGAGTGGGAGAAGAAGGAAGATCTTAACAACATTTTCCTAAATGCCAAATTTGAATACTTTGATAGTGGTATTCAGTCCTCGTCTGATTCTCCAACCAATCAACCCCCTCCACTCCCTCCCTCCGAAACATTGCAGAAATGAAACCTTGGTGTCGCTTGATAAGATCTCCGCCTGTCTCCGCACTCAATGGTAAACGGCGATGCCAGATTCCACACAATATGAATATCGGCTGTTATTGTCGGAAAATATAAGATGAATTAGAATAGTGCGCTGTCGATTAAGTTTGGGGTTGATGATCTATATATGGCCCATTGGCGTATTTCTGTGCATTCACGGTAATGGGCTCTTGAAAGGAAGCTTCCTCCGTTTACAGATCTTCCCTTTATTGCCAAGACACAGCAAAGACACTATAACAAGTGTCAACCACCGCTGCGTTACCCTCAACGGTGATAATAGCAAGCAATAAATACCACCTAAGAGAATTGCTCAACTTCTATATTCGAATAGGAGATTACGTAACTATCATTTCTTGTATTATGAACTATATCGCGAATGATTGAAAGACTGGAAGTAGCAACATCCGCTGGCATTTCAAACGCGCTATTCAATGATTTCCTTCGTAGGGCGTTAAAATGAAGGTTGGCGTTTCATGAGCATCCTGACGCGTTAATTCGTCATAACAATCGACCAATTAGCTAATTGGCTCTACCACGAGACTACGCATACGTCGTAAGACTGCAATCAAAGAAGCATCAATTTGTGCAAAGACGCGCAGGTCAATCTTGTCTTCTGCATGCGTAATACTTCAGAACGAACGACGGTGCTTAGATTACCGATTCACATACCATCTTCAATTGAATAGGAAAATAGATCGATTTTCAGATATTAAACTGTTTCTACGTTCCTAAAGCGATCTTTTTGCCTTTTATATGACAAATTAAAACAGAACGGTGAGTCAAAATACCTTAATAAAACTAATTGGCAAAACGTGACGAATTCGTAGAATATAGTATTTGCTCATTTGCGCAGTATTTGCTAGGCCATATGCCAAAATGCAAATTGGGCAGCAAATATATATATGTAACGCCAGTACACACGGACGGGTAATTTATATAAAAAAGATGGTTAGCTAGAATTAGGTCTATATAAGATGTTTTCAAAATCGTAAGGTTCATTACTGAGCTTGAAATTAAACCGCTTTCCCCCCGCAACCAGTAACATGGAGCACCTCGGTTTTGATTTTTTTTTTAAAATCCCCCCATAAATCACCGACTATTTCCAGTTGACCTTATACTTAACGGGATTATAGAATACTGCAACTCGCATGGGCTACCAGTCATTTTCCGAGAAATTCCCAGTTATCGAAACGCATCGCAAGTGCAGCTTTTGCATTGTACGATGCATCGAAGAAAAAGAAAAAAAATGTGTAACACTAATAAACAAATAAGAAACAGAATATTTTCTGGTTTGCAACGAAAACCCATCGATCCCCGCTCGAATCCACAGCCCAACTGTAATTCAAATCCTGGATTATTCATATCCGCCGACTTCTATCTCCTCGAATCTTCTCTCTCTATCTGAGCCGCGCTGTTGTCGCGAGCGCTATATTTCCTCTTCGACTCAAGCTCACCAGTGCGTTTTTAATATTGATTAATATGAAGACGGCCGCAAAGACGCAGGATCCTAACGCCAGAAAACCTATCAATCATTTCTCTTTAAAAGTTTGATTAAGAGATCGGTAACGAGGCGTGAAAACACCTATTTTGTTAACCTGCCCTTTAATTAACGAACAATAAAATAATTAAACTGGGCATGCGCACTCTCTTTTTTCCCCGAGATTTTCAAACATGGCGGAATAAGCAGCAGCTGGCAGCGGCGAAGAACATGGAATACGCTTTCGAAATTATATCATAAAACGAGCTCAGATCACGGGAAATTGAAGCGAAGACACCACAATAACACAGGCCTACCGAAAATTGGGAAAGTAATCATTATTCGCAATGAAGGAGCCGGACCCCGGCGGAATGAAGTAGCATTAGCCGGTCGCTCGTTCATTTCAGCAGTGGGTTTTCGCTGCACTGTTTAATACACACGGAGTATAATACAGAGTATAAAGAAAGTGCTATGCCAAGGCAGAGCAGTGAGTGAGTAGTATAGAGCACCTGATATTTTCAGTAGAAATCCCTGTTTTGGATGATCAAGATGTTGTTGGGGAGAGTACGCCACAGCGGTCGAGCTATGAGGCCGCGGAGTGAGTGAAGTCCACAAGTTTGCTGATGCCAGTGTGCGCAGCCCGCCTGTCTTGCTGCCGGCCGCAAGGTATCGTGAAAATGACACTATGATATTACTGTGCGGGTATGGCCGGCCACTTATGTCATTGCAGCGGCACTTTTTTCCGGTCAGGGATTATCATAATAACCTTGGGCTTCTTCAGCAGCGATGGCGACGACGGCGGCGACCGCTCGGTCTCAGTTCGACGACCCCTCTCCCCCTTCCTCTTCTCTACATCTTCCTGCTGATGACGACCTGCCTGGGGATATCGGGGCAGCCGGCGTCCACTGACGGCGACGACGACGGTGAGATATTTATAGAATCAGAATCCTCGGATCCTTCTCTTCCTCCCTCCTCGCGTGACTCTCCAGCGTCGTGCCCGGCGGGGGAACTCCGCTTGGCGACCCCCTGGATTCTACGAGATGTATTCCTTGTGAACTTGACTCAGTACGAGTACCAGGAGCGACAGTGCCTTGCTTCTCAGAGCGCTCAAGAACTCTATTGTGATTCCCCCACTTGCCCCCAGCGCAGGAAGAAGCTCATCAAGATGTACCTCAAATTTTGTAATGCATATCCAGTCTACCCTATCCTAAAGCACAATTGTTCCTATACTGACAATTGTTCTGAGGACAAGAAAACATCACCAAATGCTGACGGTTTAAGTAATAATAATAATAATGATGATAATGATGATGAGTATAATAATAATAATTTTAAAAATGCGACGACAGTCTGCAAAGAGTGTATACGCAGCATAGAGGATTTAGACAGAACCGTGCAAACTGTGTACGAACGCTTCGAGTTGGACGTGATGTCGAAGTTTGATTGCGAGGGGAAACGGCATCACCAAGGGGATAAAAACCACACGTACTCTGTTAATTGGAACTGTGATCATTGCAAGGTAAGGTGTATTACGT